TCATGTTGTGTGAGAAGTGAATTCAGAAAATAAAATAACTCAGCTGCATGACAGTGCATTCAAACCTTTTATAGTTTTTGAACAGCTGTTTAACAGTCTTAGACTCAAAGGTTGCGCCGATTGGCACCCAAACTGACTTGATAACGAAGAAACAAACCAGTTTATTAAAAGTGCCAACTATACTCAACACAAGTGAGTCTGCTGCTTTAGTCATAGCAAAAATCCTGCATTTGTTTAGAGTTGTGTTTTTCGGTTATCCATATTCAATTCAGTCCTGTTGTAGTTACATAGCTTGATATAAAAAAAAAAAAGTCACCTCAACACACTTTATATTGTAAGGTAAGGACTGTACAATAATACAGTGAGACGAGTGAGACGATCCCCTGTGAACAAGTACTTGGTGACAGTGGGAAGGAAAAACTCCCTTTTAACAGGAAAAAAAACTCTGGCAGTACCAGGCTCAGGGAGGAGCAGCCATTTGCTATGACCAGTTGGGGGTGAGAGGAGGGAAACGGGAAAAATATATACATACTCTGTGGAAGAGAGCCAGTAAATCTAGAATGGTGCATAAACAAGTCAAAAGAAAGTCAAAAGAAGTGAGTCAAGCAAAAACAGATCCATTGCAGTGTAGCTAAGGGAGGATTCAGGATTACCTGATTAGCACTAACTATATTCTTTGTCAAAAAGGGAAGTTTTCATCTAAAAGTAGAAAGACTATCTGTCTCCAGAATCTGCTGCCCATTCGACTTTTAAATACCCAGGGAAGCACAAGTTAGCCTGCACTCTGAGAGCAAAGTGCTTTGGTGGTGTGATGTGGTACTATGTGGTTTATAAGAGAAGATGAAGCCAGGTTATTGTAGACCTTGTATGTCAGAATGATTTTAAATGAAATTCTCATATACAAGGGAGCCAATGCAGCGAAGCCAATGCAGGAGAAATCTGGTCTCTCTTTCTAGTCCCTGTTGCTAACATATTTTGGAGGGAGTTTTTGGGGCAGCCTGATAATAATGAATTACAATAGTCCAGCCTGGTAGTAATAAATGCATGAAGTAGGTACAGCAGTTATAGGAAGGTTTAGAGAACAAACATGTCTTTTCCCCCAAATATTAGGAGGTAATCTGTATTTCTGTTGCAAGCTGACATTCAAACGCGCATCTTCATGTTTGTATGTTACTGTTACTAATGGTAGATCAGTTAAGACAGTTCATTTGAAATAATTAATAATGATTTTTTGAGATACGTCATTTCAGTAATGGCAATTAGATTTTGATGAAATAACAGAAACTAGGACAGGACCCCCACCTCGAGTCTAGACGCTGGTGGTGATGGAGATGGAGCCTTGTTGAAGCTCTTTAAGTGACCGGAGTGATGTGGATATGGGTAGGAGGCTGGTTGCATGAATGGGAGTCTGAAAGACAGAATGACAGAAGAACACTGAGATTTAAAGAACATAGAAGGAACAGAAGCTCGTTGGCTCAGAGAAGGCGGGCAGGAAAGTGGTTGGACAAATGCAAAGTCAGCGGTTATTGCAGGATCATTAGGAAGGCAGAATTCTTTTATAGAAGTTTTCTGATTACATTCTGTCAGTATGTAATGTGTATCAAAATGATTAACTTTTGGATATGAAACTACACAAAATGCATATTTTCATGCCAAAAGACCACATATTTGATACACTTCTCAGATTTGTTTCCCATTTGTGAATTTGAAATGTAAACATTAATTATGGTTGTTACAGTGCACAGCTTTGTGCTCTTTGTGGTTTTTCAGTTAAATTTATACAAAGAATGTCTTGTACACATATTACAAGACTGCATAATTAAGAGGGTCTAAGAAACAGTTTTTTATGCTGATTTACAGAACTTTACACAAGCCTAAAGTTCTTTATGACTGTGCTTAAAGGGGACGATTTAGAGGGGAAAAATAGCTTACAAAATAAAAGCAGTAGCAGTATGTTATCGTTCGTGTTAGTCATGCCTTTATAAAGGGCACCATATGGGTCTTGTCTGGTTTGTGCTATCCGTGTTCATTTATTGGTACATAAAATCTACAAGTTAGGTTCATTGCTCTGTCAGGCTGTGTTTGTGAGTGCGTGTGTGCATGTGTGCATGTGTGCGTGCATGTGTCTGGCCATGGCAAGTGCCAGCCTGGCAGCAGGCATTAGTCAGAGCACAGACAGAACATGCTGTCTGTCAGGCCGTCGCGTTGCTATAGTGACACTGTCTGCTTCTCTCAGGTGCTTCTGGGAAACCATTCCTCACCCAAACCAGCCTGTCTGGGTGCCAGCCACAGGACACAGCTCCTTTTTTCTTCTCAGCAGACTCCCTGTCCGTTTCTTTGCCAGCACTCGTTTGTTCTTTGCTTCATCCCCTCTTTGAACGCATTCACGGGGCTCAGGCTGAGATCGTTGACCCCATTCTGCATTGTGAGGTGGGAAAAAAAAAAAGAATAAACTAAGAGAAACATGATTTCTGAATTTTATTTCCAGCTACATGCACACACACAAAGGATGCCAAAGTCCTGACATCCTTCAGGTGATCCTTTTTGGCTCTGACCATGCGTGACCTCACTCCACCTGAGTTTCTGCTTTTTGTTATTGATTGCTCTGCTGCAGCCCCACACACCCACATCCTCCTCCAAACACACACACACACACACACACACACACACACACACACACACACACACACACACACACACACATTCAAGAGCTTTTGTTGTGGGTTCAGTTTTGTTTTAGTCGAACTGCTTAAACACAAGCCTCAAACAAAATAAAAAAAAATGTTCCCACCTTTTGTTTTGTATTGAATCTTAAATACATTTTTACCAGCAAGTGCCTTTAGGGTATATTACTGTATTCTGTATCATATTAAATTGTATTGTGTTTACTCCCTGCCCATGTTTACACTTGCACCTACATTTTCGCTGCAGCTGAGCTACTTGGCAGGAGATAAACAATGTTAGTCATATCGTTCTAAGTTACTATATGTAAGGTTTGAGAATGAATGAATGCAACAGTAAGACAGCACCAGTCTCACATGGAGTTTTTAATCTATGCAGACATTACTGTTTACTTATTAGTGATTAAACTGATGATAAATGAAATCATTTGGCCTATTGAATTTATAAAATGTTGCTTATTTTTGTTATTTGTGCATGAAAATGGTGACTTTATCAATTAGGCAGCCTTTAAAGTAGTTGCTAGACATGGAGACTTTTAATTGGCAAATCATTTTAACCAATATTGTGATCTTTAGCACAGATGGGGCCAGTTTGTTCAGCTGCATTTGTTGAGGTTTTTAGAAAACATTCTCTCCAAATGTAGTGATTCTTTCAACTTAAGCAAACAGTTCATAGCTGATAGTTTTAGGACTACTTTCATTGTCAGACAGATATGACTTTACTGTATTGTGAGATTCATTTTCCACCTTTTTTGCTTTTTACCTCACGCCAGGGTCCAGTCACCTGTGTGGCCTTCTCTAGAACAGGGGAGTACTTTTCCTCTGGAGGCTCTGATGAACAGGTGATGGCAGAGTATTCTAACATTCTTCATTACTAACTTTAATGGAGTGTTGTTATTTAATACATTTATATCTGGTTCACAGGTAATGGTGTGGAAGAGCAACTTTGACTGTGTTGAGTTCAGTGATGGCGTCAGACTGCAACATAAAACTGCTTCCAGTTCACAGACACCAACGGCTACTTCCACAACTCACTTCCCCCTTAATTCGCATACATCTGTGTTACGTAGCAAGGTAAGTCCAAACAGAAAGGAACATGGAACCCAACAAGATGGCTGTTTTGGCTTTTACCTTTATTCAGAAGCTGAACAAATATAGCCAGAAACTGTCAAATGATAGGCAACAGAGGTCGAGGTCCAGTCAGTGGGGTCAAACCCAGGATTCAACTACTAAGGGCATTTTAAACCCTATGTGGTGTCTCCCCTTAGCACTTGCCCATCGGGTTTCACTTTGTGACTGTGTGACTGTGCAGTGATTAGTGTTGTGTTTAGCAATGAGAATAAAGAACTAAGTCAGAAACATATGCTTCCAAGCACATCGTTTCCTTTATTCATTACTGGCACGTTTCCCAGTTGTTTGGTTACGGTGTTTTCACACCTAATTGATAACATGTCATTATGTTCCATATAAACCACAGGTGATCGCTTTAATCTGGTAGTGATCACCAGTATGTAGGCCTGCATGACCCTACTAGTGACTGGTGTTTGCCAGACAGTTGCTAACCAGCATCTAGCAACCGCTCTAGCCAGCAAGATTTTATGTTGTTAAAGGGTAGTTTTATAATTTGGTTGTTAGGATATGCCAATACAAATGTATATAACTAAATATGTCTACCATAAATCCTATACAAAATGCACTAATTGAAACGTATGTGTGCACATGTATTTCATGCATGTGTGCTGGCTGGCTGAAAAATAAATATGAAAAGACACAAACATGTGCACAGATGCCTCTCAGCTTATTTCCTCCCTTCCTTTGAAGTTCTTAGATTTGGCCCAAAGCCACATTCATATCCCACATGCAGGGCAGGAAATGCCTGCTTATTCACCATCTACACTTTGATATGGAGGATATTCTTTTTCCTATTGAAATGGAGGAAAAAATAAAATAAACTGCATGATACCGCAGGTGAGTTTTAAAAATGTAGTCGATCACAACAAATTCTTGGAACTGAAAAGAGTCCGTCGGTGATAATATTGTGTTGTGCGTAGTGATCTTTGAAGAGATTTTAAGTGTGTTTGTGGTTATGCTTCTGTTCTCACGACCTATAGTGTGACTTTATTTTTTATAACTCATTAACAAAGAGTTTGCTTCCATTAGCACACTGCACTATGCTGTTACTGTTTTGATTTAATTTGACAACTAAGAGGGTTTGGATAGTATTCTGACAGCCAATCAATGTCATTTAGATTGTTTGAAAAAAAGAAAAAACAGCCTTACTGACTCTTTAGTCCATTTTGTGGGAGCGCTTTCTCCAATTTCACGGGAGTAATTTGGTAGAACACAGTTCCTTGTTTTTCATTCGGAGCCTCCACTCACTCCTATTCCACCACAGAAAGTACAGCTGATGTGCTGCTAAGCTGCAGCTAGCTGCAACTTAAATAAAAATTGATGATTCTACAGTTTTAAAAAGTGTTTGGAAAACACTCCTTTGGGGTGCGATTACCGGCCTATCGTTTCCATAACAACTGAACTCCTCACACTGATGTATTATTAAAAAGCAGAAACAGTTAACACAAACTGGTGATCAGCAATTTTTACTCAGTCTAAAATTTATTATTAACGTAAATGTTAGTGACCAGCTGCTGAAGCTGTATAAAAAGTTTACTTTACCACTTTAAAACATAAAAACCTTTACAATATCTTCATAGCGTACCCACTAGAGGGGGTACCCGTTAGCAGCTGACATTATAACAACCATTTCATGAACTTATCTGACGTCTCTTAGCAGTTTAAGTTCTGATGTTTTGTCCCGTCCCCGGGACAAAACATCAGAGGACTTGTTGAGGACTGGATTAAAACCATAGGAGGAAGGCAATATTAAAACGATCAACCGCAGAGAAATGTGACTTTTGTCCTACTAAGTTTGGCCAGAGCAAAAACTTGGAAGTGACTGAAAGGAGTGTGAGCCAAGGATAAATGAGAAACAAACAGCAGAGCTGCTATTAGAGATGTTTAAATATTAAAAAGGCTCAATGTGTCATGGACGCACACAAAGGAGACTGGTGTCACCGGTCGTCTGGGAAACTCCTGGGACCGGTTTGGTTTCAAGCCTTTTGACTTCTATAGTGTTACTTACATCAACAAGGGCACAGCCTAGGTCTTTCCTCTCTTTCTCTCTCTGAGACACACACATGTGCAGACACGCATAAACAAATCCTGGCTCTCTGCTGTTCTCCCTCCTACTGATTGGTCTGCTATGAGCTTGGATCCACCCACAGTGAAGCTGCCTTACCTTTAAACTCAAAAATCCAGACTGGCAAACTTCATAGTAAACAAAGGTGAAAAAATGAAAATTAACTGTTAAGTGCTGTTTACAATTTCCATTAGAGGAAAAAAAATACATAAACACAATGTCCCCAGCATGTCATCTCACTCATCGGGGTTTCCACCAGTCTATCCGACCAATCTCAACAGCCTGCTGTGCCTAAGATGACCCCCTGCTGGGCCGATGCACTGGCGATCTGTTTGGTTTTTTTCTCCAGACAGCTGCTAAAACGGAAGAGTCCATATGTCTGTATTTATTTGTTTATACTTATTTTATTTATTTAAAAACAACAACAAAAGGAAGTTTGCTGATGTTTATTACGGCATTGTTCCTGTAAGCAAAGATTGATCATCAAGTGAGCTTAAAAAAACTATGAAAATGTTTTTTTTTAAAAAGGAAGTAAAAACAAAGCCAGACACACATTTCATAAATTTTGAATTTTGCACCTCCAAATCTTCGGAACAACTTACCTTTTTTACATAAGAGTTGCCCATTCTTTTTAAATCACTTAAAAAACCCTATTATCCTAGTGTCCTGTCTTTTCTTATGCAAACACAGTCTTGTTTACTTGTTTTCATTGTTTTCAGTGTATATTTTGTATAACCTGTACAGCAATTTGGCCAACGGAGGTTGTTTAAAATATAAATGTGTCTGTTTATCCATTTATGCCCACTAATTAAGGTAGGAAAGGCAGGATATCCTTGTCACACTTTGAGCAACTAGCATTATAGTGTTATTCTTAAGTCTTCTTCTTAAGTCACATACATAGCCGACATCAGTCCAGCAGTGAAACTCATCCGGTTCAACCTATTATAAAACCATCATTCTTATAAAAATAATAGCATTTCTGTATATCTTCATCCACATCTGTAATCTTTAACAAAGATGATATTTACTTAAAAGCTCCATTGATCAGCTTCAGCTAGAAGTGAGTGTTTATCAAGCATCATCTATGTGAAGGTGAATATTTCTAACATTTTTCTTAGACGCCTAGTTTAAGTAGTTTGCTCTCAGTGTCCTTTAAAAAAGCACCTGCTTTCTTAATGCCATTTGTGGAACTTTCACGGCTGCTTTTTCTTCTGTCTGCCTTTCCTTTCTGTGCTGTGAGAACAGGATTGTAAATGGATTTAATAGCTCTTCCACTTGACAGCCGTTATTACAGATGTGCCTGAAAGGGTGATTAGAAAATGGGCAGCTGGACCATGTAGAGAGAAATGATTAGTGCATTGTACGAAATGTATTCTCTTCTTCTGAGAACTCCTGTTCTTGTTTAACCCCACTGAACCCTTTCACTGGGAAATATGATTTTTCAAATACAGCTGTCTGAAGTTTGAGCACTAATGGAAAAGCAGCTCTTCACATCTGCTTGATTAAGAACCAGCTGTGGTTCAGTTGTGATGTTTGCACTGGCTCTCTCTCTTCTTAAAAAACCCCACATGGATTCATAGGTTACATGTGAGATTAATGATCCTTATATTTGTATTGTGTTTGACAAATTTGTTTTTTATGTTTTGGAAAATCCAGATTCTAAAGCCACCCAGAGAGCTTTGTCAGACTGTTTGATTGTTGCCTTGTCAGTTTATCCCGAATCATCCACAGGAGGTTTTTGATCCATTTCATCAACCTCCAATCATCTGTTAAAACAAAAACAAATAAATGAGGGATCTGTATCCAGGTCTTGTTCTCATTTAAAAAGAAAAATGTCTATATCGACTCACTCCCAGCAAAATAATTTCATAATTATTCCTCTGAGTCATACAAAAACATAAATTACTAGTAATTTCAGTATCAGAACATTGAAAATAGATAAAATGACAACAAATATGAAAAGGAGACCCCAGTTTTAATCTCATTTAAACACCTTGGTCTGCATGGACTTGAAGTTCCCACTGTTTCCACAATAAATAAAAACAACTTGGTCAACAGAAGATGCACTGCGATCTCTAAATCTAGTAAATGTATTTGGAGTGTGTGCTACCTGCTACCCTTTTCAGTATAAAAAATAAATTTATAATAATAAATTTAAAAGGATGTAAAAAGCTAGTATTTGTAATTTATCCTTTTTTTCTTAATCCTAGATCTCCAGTGAAGCAGTAGCTGAATGTGTGAAGTTATTATTAGACCAAACATATAGAAATATGAAACAAGCTGTTTTTAGATAACATGCCTTATAGTAGTTTAGCTGGAGACTCCTTTAACATGTTGTGTTTTAGTTTGGCACCAGCTTTGAGATATCGTCCAATGAAAGCACATCAAACATTTTAACAGCTGGCTCTGAGAATATAGCACTAGTCTTTGTTGAAAGTATTTGCACATAAATATAGCATAAAAAAAACTTGCTAATGTGTTTGAAGGTGCACAATTGGACAATCCGAGATTGAATGGGCAGTTAAGATGGATGTCCTTTTCAGTGCGTACTACATAAGTATGCTTACCAATAGGGTTGTCCACAATAGTATGATTCTACATTTTTACATGATTATATGATATTTGCCATATCAATGATATGGCAAAACCATTGTTTACTTTCCCAAGCACATGCAACAACGGCACATGCCCAAACATGTCTGACAGAGAGAGTTGCTTGTCAGCCTCCTGACGATTTAGTAAAATGGGAACTATTTAATGAAGCACAATGTTTTGCAAAAATATGGGGAAAAAATTGTTCTTGCTGAAGGTGGAAACTACAAAACTGTTTTTTCCACTTGGGGTAAAAACACACCATCGAGTAAAACCAAGACATGAA